TGCTTAACAACACTGCAACATGGAGGATGTGACGCCACAAATACAGTCACTGCCCCTTGTCTTCCTCGGATACATTATACATCGGCAGGCAATCTGAGCATTGGATTCTGCCTTTGACTTTGAGAGTCTTGAGCTCCTGGCATGGCTTTTCGCCATCCGTAAGGTGCATGAACTGAATGTTCAGTCACCGGCTCCCAACGGGTGCGAAACTTTTATCTCACCCTGCCACCTTGTAGGTTGGGTCTTTCGGCCAGAGGCTTGGGACTGTAGTCCCCTAGACAACCCACCTATTTCGGCCTAGACAATAGGGTAATATCTCGCCTGCTGACGAACCATGGAACCACACAACTACGTTCACTCTCCTCCGTTCTCATGATGATCCACTGTCATGCTACTACGCCAACTTTTCAAACTCACGCCACCAATGTACATTCCCTTCCCTTGTATCATTCACCCCCATTGTTACTTCATTCTTCAACGGTGAACAACCCTACCTCCGCTGATGAAGTTGTTCTCCTGCCATACATTAACTCAGCCACACAGTCCTTGACAGGGAGCTGACATTTCGCCACTGCAACTTGGAATTTAGTTCAAATTGGCAACTTTAACGTGCGCACATTATTGCAGATCGGGCAGCAAGCTTGACTTGCCCGCGCACTGGAGACCATTGCAGTCGATGTCTGCTGCTTGAGTGAAACACGACCTTAGTATTCCAACACCGTCTATCAGCTGTCGTCATCAATTCTATCAACATCTTCATGTACTGCTCCTAAGGGGTCTAAAACAGATGTCATTAAAATGACAGGAGACCTAAACGCACGGATCTGTCGGCTGCTACCATGTGGACGTCCCCTCGGGAAACCACATGGCCAAAGTGTTATTCGCTCTGACAACGGAGAGACTGCTCAGTCTATGTGCTGACCACCAACGTTTCCCCTACACTACGAGCTTTTGCCTCCCAGGGCGCCACTATGCTACCTGGCATTTTCCATCGTCAACCCAGCGCTGGTCACAAGGTGATCACCTAGCCATTGGCCGCAGGTGGCTCGGCAGCATACGCTATTGCAGAGCATTTTGATCAACGTGCGCTGAAACCGATCATGCATTGGTGTGACAGTTTGCATGCGTACTGGTGGCTCATCTAGGGCCAAACAAGCCCGACTGGAGACATAAGTTAAAGGATCCAGTGGTAAAAACGAAGTGTCAACAGATGCTCTACGAACATCTTGCCCCATTCTCTACTCTAGATGTCAGTCAACACTGGTCAGTTCTTCAACAAGCCATGCTGCCTGCCGGCTTGTCAAACTGCGACCACACCCGTTGCAAAGCCAAAAGATGGAATTCGGTAAGATTCTCAGGAACTGCTAGATTGATTACAGGTTGCGCCAGCCGCTACAAAGCGTAATAAACAGTCTGTCTATCTTTCAACAGCTGAACTAATGCCTTCGCTCTGTCCGTGAATCCTGGTAGTCAAAACGAGCTGCTGAGCTGGATTCCGCCGCATCGTCTGGAAAGTTCAGCAGTTTATTTTACCTCATCAGGACCACTGGTCGCAATTCACATGCTATCATTCAGACCATTTTTGAGTTAGAAGGCATGAAAATCACCAACTTACACAGGCACTTTGCGCGCTGAGCAGAGCACTTCGCTTTTTAATCTAACTACCCAGCATTGCCCACTGTGACACCGTTTTCCTCGGATGGTGCTTACCTGTCCCCACAGATTCTTCTATGAAAGCGCAATCCAATATTCGGAACGTCATAAAGCTCCCGGCCCTGACGGTCTGCCAACGGCTCTAATAAAAGATGGCGGGAATGTGCTTGTCAGCAAAGTCTTGTCGCTGTTCACGAAGCTTTGGACTGACGAGAAAGTTCCAACTGCGTGGGGAGAATCGGTCATTGTCTCGATTCACAAGAAAGGCTCTCGAGAAGGTTGCGCCAATTACCGCGGAATTTCGTTGATCTCTATAGCGTTCAAAATGTTCGTGATTGTCCTACTCCGCATGCTTCCAGTGATTAGAGAGGGCGTTTCCCAAGAGGAACAAGTCGGTTTTCGTCCTGGCTGAGGTTGCATTGAACAAAGCTCCACACTCCGCCAACTTCTTGAACTCTTTCACGTCCACCGACGACCAACAATCGTAGCGTTCTTGGACATCCGAGCGGCACTTGACTCAGTAAACAGACCTGCGTTGTGGAACGGTCTCCTAAGCAATGATTCCCCGACAAGTTTGTAACCATCCTGAAGGAGCTCTACAGCCACACGTCGGGCAACGTCAGGGTTTACGACAGGCTCTCCTCTCCGTTTGCAGTCATCAGCGGCGTTCGCCAAGGTTGTCCCATCTCACCGTTCCTCGTCAGTATTCCATTGAAGATGTCCTCCAACTAGCATTCGAATACGCCCAAAACTGCTGTATTGAACTTCTACCAGGTGACAGAGTTTCGGACTTAGATTACGCAGACCATATCGCCTCGTTTGGTACTATCCCCAAGCCGTCCAAAGTGCTGCGAACCGCTTAGCCTTAGGGGCGTCTGTGTATGACTTGTATTTCACGCCAGTCAAATGTAACATATACTCCTGTATTGGCAGCTGCCTGTGCCTGCCCTCACCATTGCTGGTGACCTTTTGGACCAAGTCCCATGCTTCACTTATCTAGGGAGTCGCATCACGGCTGGTGGCGGTGTTAGAGATGAGGTCTCACAATGGATCGCCTTACATTCGTGAGACTAAGACAACTATGGCGTCGTCGCGGTGTCAGTCTGGGTGTGCATTGTCTCTGTCCGCGTGGTCCTCTTGTCCGGCTGTGAGAACTAGGCGACAAGCTCGGAAGACGTGAAGCGATTGTCCTTTTTGACATACGTTGTCTGCGTAGGGTTGCTCGCATGTGTTGGCAACATTACGTAAGCAACACAGAAATCCTTGACCGAGTGTTTGGAGCAAACAGCCTATGCCTCCAAAACGTAATTCTCCGACACCGCATGCTTTGGTTCGACCCCGTATTACGCATGCCAGCCTTTTGCCTTCCTCGTTGAGCGTTATTTGCGCTCCCCGAAGGCGATTGGAAGAAGCGCCGCAGTAGGCAAACAATAGGGTGGAGAAAGAGCATGAAGAAAGCAACCTCAAGCGTAACATCCGTTGGACCGGTCTGTTTTCCAGGAGGAGGACCACGCGACTCGGACTGCAAGTAGTAGGAAACGTTGGTGAGTTATGACGTGCAACAGACACCTGTGGCGAAGTGTTGTTCAAACGCATCGTTTGTTAATGTTTAAGTGAATATATATATATATATATATATATATATATATATATATATATATATACATATGTTGTTATCGCTATGGTGACGCTAATCATAACAACTCGAACATTTCCGCTTTAGGACTTAGGTCAAAATGTATTGTTCGATGAGATGTTGTCGGCCCGTAGTTTTAAGGATCACACGCCTGCTTTGTATTCCAGAAGTTGCAAGTTCGGGTCTCCGTAGGTGCCCGGGCAATCCTAGCAGCATCCGTAACCCACGCGCTACTGGTGGTGGTTGCGCGGCAGCGAAACCTAGGTACTGCGTACCGGCGTACTGCTGATACCTCTTCGTACTATTTGAAGCATGAACTTCCATTTATTGTTTCAAATAAGAACATCAGAAAAAGTGTTATGATATTCTTGTTTTTATAGCTACTTTCTAGCTAAGTCATATCTTATTTCCTTATCGCTTCTTCTCTCCGTATTACTGCAGTCGGTGACTATTTAACTTCGCAACTCTCGCGAACGCGCACAAAACTGATAACCAACGTCCTTCGTATCGTTTAAGGTTCTTTTTTAAGGTCTTTGCAAAACCAGCTGATGTATATCTCACTACTGAGGTTGTTCTATGTTCATTGTAGTTGCAAGTCTGCCTAAGTAGCTTATTTTGAAATTGATGAACTGTTTAGCTAACTGGTGTCTTTGTTATCTGACCCCATTTTAATGCATACAAACTGCTCACCAGTGTAGGGGAGTCCAGTGCCAGTCTATGGGCCAATGCTAATCACCAGTTTAACATTGTTTTCTTACAGTATACTTGCTCTCCTAACTTCTCGTTAATGTAGTTGCTGTTCTCATACCCAAAAGTCATTCTCTTCACTCGTGACAAGACCATATTAATTCTTCGTAGCCGTATGCGTACGGTGCAGTACAAAAGTCGTAGCAGCTGCAGCATCAGGAGACTTGCTCAGTGTGGGTCTGGATTATCTACAACGCATTACTTTTTATACATGTCAGAGTCAATCTTCACCACTGGCCTTGCATCCAATCTCAGTGGTCTATGTTTCCCACTTAGGTCTATTGTCACAACGACAACCGTTTGCTACCATTACCAACAATGATGTGTTGATGAAGGCGTCGACAACGCAGCATGCATCGAGTGACAAAGTCTTTATAGTTGCTCTTACCAGGCTCATTCCAGTTTCCAATGGTATTGGAATTTAGCGGATTAAAGTGTCCTTCACAATCCACCGGATTGGGAAATGTGAGACAAGGTCGATCGTCCGCTTTAACCTCTAAACATCTACAAAACGATTGTATTGCTCATCAGCTGTTAACTCGTTTCTTTTTTCGAAAATTCATTTATCCAAGTTATGTTTAATGTTCGCCCAAGATACTCCTGTTTATTAGCATTTGCGATTCCTGATATTCTACAGTGTCAAGCTTTCCTTTGCTCTCGACTGTTGCAAATCCTCCAAGAGTTTTGTTCACTTGTTTGGGATCAGCTGCTAGAATTGCCAGGGGGACTGGACTCGCGCCTGCACTTACACTCTTGTGCAAGACAGAGAGTATCTACTGTATGGAATATCCAACGACTGAATTCGGCCTATCCTCAAGCTATCTCCTTAATGATCGGGCGGTAGCGAACATTCCAGGCGTGTTCATTTGCTCTCGCAACATTGCCAGGAAACCTTTATCGCATATTTTCTCTGACATTTTCTCACTATTTAATCACTTGCCCGCATCTTTTGCACGTCACACAGGCACTGGAGAGTCAGGAAAAAGCACATTTATCAAGCAAATGCGCATTATCCATGGTACTGGCTATTCGGATGAAGAGCGGCGGACGTTTGTCAAGCTGGTTTATCAGAACATTTATTTAGCTATGTCTACAATGATCCGAGCAATGGAACATTTGAAAATTGCCTATGAGAATCCGAGTAATTGCGTAAGTGTTTGTTTCCTTTGACCTGCTTACTGCTCACATAGCTGCCTTGTTGCTACTTACCCCGACACAGCTGATTACGACTATTTAGTCTTAGCTTTTTACGGCACGGTCATTTGAAACGCTTTCCATCCTGCTGTTGTGGCTTGTGTCTCCTCATTTTCTGCCGTTGGGCGCCGCTTCTTATCATGATGATCATTATCAATGCGCATTAGCCAAGGGTGAGAATCACACCTCAACTAATGTGCCGCAATACAAAAGTAAGACATTAAACAATGGAGACTTAAAGGCTATACATAGGTAGCATAATGCTAATATCTTATTTTTGATCGTTGTTGGATGGAAAGTTAAAGGGAAGGCGAGGGGCAACGAGACTCACAACACAAACACCATTGAAGTCGGTTGTTCGCCATGTCGGCTGGTATATACAACGGAACATGTTCATCATCCTTCGGTCCCCAGCCAGGCAGTCGGTAAACATCAAACGATGCCAAATTTAAAGCGAGGGACTTCATTCCTCTAGACCAAGTCATCGCTTGACCTCCCCTCCTCTTCGTCCATCCACACCCCCGGCTCGCTAACAACGCACGTCGCGGGAATCGATGGGCTGGCATGTGCACCACGTGGCCCACCATCGGAGCCTGGTGCGTGATCTAATGCTGCTGAGCGGTTCACTCTCTATTCCTGCACCAAATACGCGACAACCGCTTCGTATGGGACCCTGAAACAGCATCCAACTCAAGTCAACAATGCGCTTTATGCACCCATGAAGAGGGAATATTCAGCTACAACGTACACGCCAAGGGCACAAATAAAATCAAATAAACATATGACAAATGTATATGGTGCACCACAAGTTTAAAAATGTGGCAGTGGCAATATCCTTGATTCAGTCTGGCAATAAGTTCTTGTTTGACTACATCTTGATTCCTCAGAAAACGTAACAAATAGGAAACAACTGACGTACTGTAAGCTCTTGTGCGGGCACAAATGGCTTTGTACGTTTGTCTGGTCGAAGAAGTTCATATACATTCCGACAATGCACATTAAAGAGCGTGACTGGCCTTAGTGAGTACCTTGGACGCCAGTTTTTCGCAAGAGTGAACATGATTACACACAATGATGTTAATAAACACTAGCATAGAAATTCCGCTGCGTCGACCATGATACTTCAGCGACCTGTTGATCGCTTTGAATTTCCCGTGTATGTACTGTTATTTACCATTTGTTGGCCCTGGTTATCAGTGAAGTATGACACCCCATGGTGAGCTAGCCATTTCTTTGGTTCCTTAAGTCATAAGCTTACTTCGTTATGTCGTGTCAGAATGCATTATTTTGGTTGTTGTCATCGATTCTCAACCGTACGTAGCTTACAACTGCCAATGACCCTCTGTAAGTTGGTTGTTCTCTCTCGTTGGTCACAGACTCACGCGGATATCATCCGTGAAGTGGACTACGAGTCAGTAACTACAATGGATCCCCAGCACATTGTGGCCATACGTTCGTTATGGGAGGACCCAGGGATTGTGGAGTGCTACGACCGACGGCGAGAATATCAGTTGACAGACTCCGCCAAGTAGTATGTTGCACATTACACTTACATGCTTTGACAACTTGTTATGGTCGTTTTTCCTCGTTCATCATTCTCTTTTTACCTTACACCACTCATTCAGTTACTTGGACAACCTCGACCGGGTTTCACAGCCAGATTACTTGCCAACTTTGCAAGACATCCTCCGCGTCCGCGTACCAACAACAGGAATAGTTGAATATCCTTTTGATTTGAATTCGACCATCTTTCGGTATGTTCCAGTGCAACATCAAGCTTCCAGAGTGCAGTTATGTTAGACCCTTACGCTACGCTCACCTTTCCGTTCATTAAGGGACGACGATCGCTACTCTGTTGAACACTTTCGTCAACAGGGCCTTCGATTTTGTTGCACGTGCTCTTTATCGTGACTTTAATCTTCAGCAACCCGACCTTGGTTTGACAGTGACGTGAGCAGCCATTATTCACAATCATCGTACTGGTCAGATGACGTTTTCGTAATTATCGGTTCCCCCAACACCCGGATCCAACACATCCGTTTATCTCTGTACATTATCATAGCTGAACCATTGGCGCAGCGGACAACCGATCCCATCTTTAATATCTTTGTCCAAATGTATTTATCTAGTACTTCCCCAGTAAAAAGTAACTAGATGTCATAATCCTGGGTGCTCATAACTGTGTTGAAGTAAATTCTGGTGGATACCTGTACACTACGACCAAGTCACGAATTTCGAACGCCAGGGCATATCTGCGCTGATAATTTCCAACCTGGGATTCTGTCTTGTGTATGCATTGACAGGTGGTTTCGAACTCACTCTACTCGTATTGTAACCAACAAAACACAAAGTGGGCCGGAAACCCGTTCGACTGCCGAGTGAAGGGGCATGCTCGTTTCCCACCCATCTCTTACCCCCGGCCAAACTCATTCATCATTGTATCTAAACCGTGAGCTGCATACAACTAGTACGGAAGTATCACACTACGATACAATCGTAGCCTATGTTCCTTGACTTGCTATCTGGGGGTTACGCACTGCGATCTCCAGGATATGATCGGATAAAGAAGAATATGTTTGAACATTAGTGGTGCCACTACTTACCGCTCTCTAAAGCGGACTACCATCAAACCATGCGGTCTAGTGGCTCGGGTCACCCAGAGCAGTAGTGTGTTCCCCAGCATTCAAAGCTTTGATCACTACTGTTGTTACATTTAGTGAGTTAATCACACTTCATCTTTGTATTTTACACTTCTCTCAGTTTGGTTGACTTTGAAACGAGTTCTGTTTGGCCATTCGATTGGTTTAGTGCTCTAGAGGTATATCTGCGAGGATCTGCACTTCTTAGGAGCCAGGTGTGCACTTCGACAAAAAAACCCACTCGTAGCTGTTGCTTACAACAGTTGCTACCTGTCATGTCATGTGCATTTTTGGTCTCTGTCGCTTTGAATACCTGGTGTTTCAATCAGATATAAATACTCTGTGTAGTTGATCATAGTTCCATTATTGGATGAGCTGCGGCTGTATGTGCACATTGGGCGCTTGCCTCACATTATTTTTTAATACATTGGCCCACTATATCGGCTAACCTGATGAATAGCAGTTGTGTACACAATTCATGCGATTTTCTCTCACATCCAACTCACTAGTCACAGTCTTTAAAGCACGTGCCATCGGTGGATGTGCTCGCAGCCAGTGGTTTGACCATCAGACGCGTAAGCATATGGCTCTCGTTATCCTTGCACATTGGTTACCTGAGCGCAACGCCTTTCGACTATTACGCTATTCCGCTTTTCAGCATGGTTGACGTTGGCGGCCAACGCTCAGAACGTCGAAAATGGATCCACTGCTTCGAAAGTGTTACCTCCATCATGTTCCTGGTCGCATTGTCCGAATACGATCAAGTGCTGGTGGAATCGGACAACGAAGTACGTTCCAGTGTTTTTGATTGAACCGTGTTTACGAATGAATCAGTTCTGCCCTTTGCGCAAGATTTGGTGATTCTACTTACTGACTTTTCAGATTGGGATACTTACTGTTAACCAAAGAAAGCGTTGCAGGACTAGCGTTCCTTGCGATGTTCTGAAACTATCTTAGATCGATTCCTGTTTCCTACCCTTTTTACACTCGCCTTTGGCGTGTATTACATTGACGTCAGATAATCTACTGTTGCGATCACCTTGTCTCTGCGGATCGCAGAGGCGAGATGAAAACTACGATACGCACCGAAGGTCACGGCGACCCGGGCACACAATCTGATGGAGGAAGCCGTCAGTTCGCTGGTTTCCTGTACTGTTTTCTATCACATTTACCATCGCAGCAGTCCATCTATTCACGGACTTCTTGCAACAGTGTAGCTGTCTTTGCAGCCACAAAAGTAATTGTAGACACCGTGAGTTGTGGCACGGACCACTGTATTACAGGATACCGGCCTTAATTGGTTGTTGTCTTTAATACCCTATTCTTTAATACCCTATTCTCGCCACGTAGCATTCTTATATCCTTTGACGTTACGGCGCGCCTTCGCATATGTCCATTCTATTGCGGACATTATACTCCGAATCTCCTTCACTTGCGCATGTAATATTTGGGACACGTGCCCGTATGGCAGAATGGCCTGAGTATTTTTTCACTAAGCTCTCATCTCCACTGGCGATGAATAACGCAGCACCATTTCCTGTGCTCTTTACGTATTAGCTCTTTGAGTCAATTTCTTTTCCTCTTTACTAGAACCGCATGGAGGAAAGCAAAGCACTATTCCGCACGATTATAACCTATCCATGGTTCCAGCGGTCTTCTGTGATGCTCTTCTTGAATAAGAAGGATTTACTGGAGGAGAAGGTCATGTATTCCCACTTGGTGGACTACTTTCCTGAGTACGACGGTAAGTTCTGATGTTTTTTGCCGGGGTTACATCACTTGCAGATCGTCCCACACCGCATTTTTTCCACCAATTAGGAGAGCGATAAGGATGCTCCGTATTTTGTCCCCGTACAAAGGCTAAGCTTATACTTCTTGCTTACTACGTCACCAGTACTACCTGACCAGTGATGTCGCGCCGGCGCCATAAGTGGCGAAGGTAATCAAAAGCACCTCGAGCTTTTGCTATACGGTTCGTGACCTCGTCTTCGATTTCACAAGCTTTGATACAACTGCCTGGATAGTTGCATTTCTGAACGACTTCTAGCTGCTCCCCGCCAAGGGTCAGCGCTAGACGTAGATGCTCTTAAGCAAAATGCTTATTTCAGAATTAGTACGCTGGTAATATATTTAGCTCGTACACTTCCACACTAATTCTTTTGCCTCTTTGTTGTTACTTCTTAGTCGAAAAGAGTAACCAGTGAATTTCTACCCTTGATCCCCAGCGTACACTGATCATTGTCCCCTGTCACTCTGTGTCTATTCGGTTAACAGACAACACACACCTTCGCTATATGTTCCCTTCTTTCTTTCTATCTTTCCCTCTGAAATGTACTCACAAAGGGACACCATCTAAACGCATTTCCGACTATCTTAGAATCAAATGGCAATAGCTGTCTTCTTCGCGTTTGTTGAAATACTGAGTAGATGACCAGATGTTACGCTGATTAAGCATACTGAAAGCATTCTGTTTCTCTGTGCTGCAGATGGCTGTATTGGAATCACTCATTAATCAGCACTGTTTGGTCCTCATTGAATCGCCAAACTTGGCATTTACCACACTCAACGACCACTGTGTCCGCGTTTCTGGCCAATTGGCTGAACGGTGCTAGTTGTTGATGGAATTCCTCTTTGACGGCTTCTGAACTGCCTGCGCCTCGTCATCTGGCATTGCTGATTGACTGGTGTGCTTGACGTCGAACCACGCACCTAGGCTTTTTCACTGAACCTTTCGAAACAGGTTCCCCACAACGTTTTCAGTGGGTGCAGCATGGAGATAGTAACTACCGCAGCCATCAGTGCGGCATCAATAAAAACGCAAAAAATACAGCCACCATCACCCGAGTATGAAATAAGCAGCGGATTGTTTGAGAAAGGATTCCGGTGACAACACGCTGCACTTTCAATAGATTGCGGTGTCAGAGCACAAGTCACATTTACACAGAGTTGATTTTGAATGCCTAAGTTGATAAACCCGACTTGAAATGAGGTCTTCCGTTAGAATGAAGCTTTGGGTGCGCGATCAGTGCAATATATTTCTGGTCAATTATGTAGGAAAATATGTGCATAGGTGACAGGCAGTAAAGGCTATTTAGAATCGGTGACGCAGCCATATGTGTCAGGCCATCCTCTTATTGCCTGCTCCGAAAGGACGGTTTAGTTTGAGAGTTTCTACCTGTGGCCTTGAACTCGATAGTCCAACCCTCAATGTAGTAGCTGCAAGTCTAGCTCCCCAGAGTCTCATTTTAGTGTGCTGTGGTAACCTGCTTGAAATGGACGAAATTCGCTATTAGAACATTTCGAACTTTCCATTTTTGTTTCTCCGCCGGATGCTTCGGTACACTCGCGATCACCTTCGGTCTATGTTAGTTCGTCGGGTTTCCATTTCATTGGCCAGGGGATGCCTAGCCTGAGGTGTGTCGTTGCGTATTGTCAAGCGGCAACTGTTCTCTTCTACCGGCCGAAACGATTCGGGCGCTCGGACTCTGCGTCAATTGAGCTGAGCCTATACCTCGTAATTGGTTGTCTTCTGTAGCTAGATTTTACAGAAGGCTATCCAGCTCGCCCAACTCCCCGATGAATTGGACTGGAGTATACTCCACTCCCTGGAGCTCGACGATACATGGAACTTACTGCATTCGAAGTTGATGTCAGCCATTGAGAAAGTCGTCCCCAGCTCCAAAGGTACGCCTTTCCCTAAAAGTCATTCTTTCATTGACCGCAAGCTAAAATCCCTGTTGAACAGGCGAAAGAAACTGTAGAGTTAATTCAAGTCCATGCAAGCTACATCTGACTACCTGAAGTACAAAGCAGTGAGAAACCAGTGTACATTCAGGAAATGCCAGAAACGGGGTCAATACGAACATAGCCTGGTTGTTCAATCCCACAGCTGCCCTAAGCAACTTTTCTCGTCTCTAAGGCGAAACACCAAGGCATTCCTGCCCTAGTTCCTCAAGACGTACACGCTGTTCTCTATGACAATAGTGAAAAACCTCACCTACTAGCCACCCAGAACTCATCGGTCTACTCAGTAGGGCCCTCGCTACCTAGTGATAATCTGACAGCACACTGTCCGCTGCTAGGGCAAATCGAAATCAATGAGATAGTATTGAAACTTCTACTCCAATGGAACCTGAATTCCGCTCCAGAGCCCGACGAACTTCATCCACTGTTTCTCAAGATGGCAGCTGAATACACAGCTGAGCCATTGTGCCAACTATTCCATCGCTCGCTCGCGGATGGCCGCTTACCATCTGACTGGGAAGTAGACATAATTATACCGAAACATAAAGGAGGCAACCGCCATGATCATGCGAACTACCGAACGATATGCCTGATGTTTGTCGTTAGCAAGATCATGGAAAGAATTCCACCGCGTGCCCTACATATTCACTACGAAAGCACTCATGTTATCTCTCCCGCTCAGCATGGATTCCGCAGAGCCCCGTCCTGTATAATTAATTTGTTTGTTGCTAGGGAAGCATGGGCCAGCGCAGTGGACGAGAGGCGATACCTAGGTGTTGTCTACATCGACTTCAGCAGGACATTCGATAAAGTTCCACACAAACGACTACTGCTTAAACTCAAGGGGATTAGAGTCAGTGGAAATGTCCTATCTTGGATGGAAACCTTTCTCCTAGCTCGGATCATTCGAGTAAAAGTGAATTAGACTCTTTCTGCCTCTGCGCCTATGACTAGCGGCGTACCCCAAAACTCCGTCCTCGGGCCTGAACTTTTCAAACTCTACATTAACGACCTCCTTGCGACACTTTAAGCTGACTGCCTAATCTATGCAGTTGACCTCAAACTATGGTCAGAAACATCCAGCCTTGATGACGCCGACAGGCTACAAGCATCACTTGACCTGCTGCATGATTGGTCCGTCAAGTGGGAACACCCTGTTAATCGAGACACATGTGCCGTTCTCCCCATTGAGGATTTGGTTCTGTTCAGTGTATATTATATCAGAGGCTATCTTCTCAACTCGGTCACCCACGAGAAGTATCTTGGAGTTATCCTTTCAAATGACCTCAGAACCTCAGCGGACACACCATAGGTCGCGGCTGCTAACAGGATGCTGAGTGCTCTACGAAGATCGTTCTCTGGAATCTCACCGGAGATCTTTAGAACCTTGTTCAGTTTCCATGTCCGTCCAATCCTGGGGTACGGCCTTCCAGCTATCTATCCACTCTCAAAACATGAATGTGCCTTGTTAGAAAAGGTTCAGAGGCGTGGCTCGAAATCCGTCTCGGAGCTTCACGACCTCAGCTACCCTCTTCGACTTCAGAAGCTTAACTTTTTCCCCTTGGAGTATCGCCGCAGTCGAGGGGATCTCATTTACACCAGACGGTTCCTAAGGGGAGAACTTGGGACAGACATACAAAGACTCTCGACTCAAATTGGATATCTCGACGCGGGGTCACAAGTGGAAGCTTTACAAACGAGAAATACTTTTCATCTAGTCTGATGCTTCCCTATCTACCCGAGTGTTGAACAATTGGGACAGCTTACCAGAGAATTTCGTTGGTACACAGACTGAGGAACGTTTTAAGCATCTGGTAAATTGCCACCTGGTGAGTACCGCGGGTTCCTGCTGCTCCTATTGCAAAGGCGACAATCATCAGAGGCGCGTCGACTCGAAAACACAAACATTAACCTCACAATGAACTGGAAGTAACGGAGCTAACGGGGGTCTCCCCTCTTGCTTTCTACATACCAATGAACCAATATACGTTACATGTCATTCGTTTGCTTCGGTTTATACTATCTGACGCTAGCACACCTTGTTACGGATCCCCGGGGTAACTGGCGGAGGTGAAGCAGTAGAAAGTTGGTCCACCAGAGTTAATTACCCGGATAGGGACCATGTTTTCGACTACAAAGTTACCTACCCAGTACAGTACCATCGAATATTTGGTGAGGTTGCTGCACTCGACCTCCCATTGGCAATACATTCTAGCGTTTCACTGTTTACTGTTATCACTTTTAACTATTTTGATAACACAAGAGTGCCGCACGCTTTAATTCCGGAAAAATTTCTCTGCATATTTTCAAGTGCACTTCCATCGGTCTTTGCTGACCAGATCACAGTGCGCGTACCAGTGTGTTTTACTTCCCGCAAGAAATGCGATTGGTTGCCGAATATAGAGACAACACGAACGCCTGTCTTGTCGAATTTTTTGACATCCTGTTTGCCAGAGGCGTGGGTGATTACGCGATCTTCCTGACCTAACTTCAAGCGAGTTCGAAGCCGGCTGGCCTGTAAGCTTCTCTTCGGCATTTTCTTGTTGCACGTTTCCTGTTTGTAGCATTTTCTCAGCACACCTGCTCTCATTGTTGTATCTGTTTTACTAATGAGTAATGAAGATTTTGGCATAATTCAAATAACTTATCATGATAACTCTCATTCAGCAGGCTTTGGCATGTTTGGAAAAGAACAAGACACCAGTGTTTCGACCTTCTGGGTGCTGTCAGTGGTGCGCCTCCCAGCGGTCCCCTGCAGGGTTCCGCCCCCATGACCTCCGGATGCCAGCAGCTAGTGCCACTTCGCCATGTGCGACAGCCGCGGACCTGCATGATTGACAGTTGACTATGATATAGCCCAGCATATCTTCCACTGTCATGCCAGTTACGAACTGTGCAGACAGTGGTAATTGACCGATTCCTCTTCCTATACCGATCCACGTCAAACCCACAAGTGCCGAGTGGCGCGATGTGGTAGCGCGCCAGTTCCATCACGACGAGTGCAGTGCGTCGCTCCGGGCGCTCGCTGGAGTTCCGGTCCAGTAGTGTGCGCACGTTCCAGCACCCGATGCTGAGTGCTTTGCGCGCAGGCATATGATTGCATTGTCCTGGATCTTAGCAGGGAGAAGGGCGAAACCCAACTCCCACCCAGCGGTCGCCACGAGGAGGCGCCCAGGACATGAGCCAATGGCACAACAGTAGCAGCAGTGGGTAGACCATCTGTCGGGATCTAGCCACCACCAGCCTCAGCGCACCATAGGCTCTCCCGCCGCTATATATATATATATATATATATATATATATATATATATATATATATATATATATATGGTGTTGACCCGCCTTACCTGATTAACCCAACATAGCATGTTTGATTAATGAACTTTGCCCTCCTTCATCTACATAGATTTTTGTCATATTTAATTGATCATTTCTTCATTTCGTTCACTTAGCCAGTTCTCTCATCTTTGAGCACGTCTCAGCGATAGCTTTTGCTTTGTTTTTGCTGTAGGCCCCCAAAGGGATGCTGAAAGCGCCAGAGATTTCATCCTGAAGATGTTTGTCGAGCTTAATCCTGATCCGCACAAGATAATCTATTCCCACTTCACTTGCGCCACAGACACTGAGAATATACGGTTTGTTTTTGCCGCTGTCAAAGACACTATCCTCCAACTCAATCTGGCTGAGTACAACTTGGTCTGACCTTGTGATCCATTCAAGCAATAATTGCTTTATGGGCAAGTAAGTGCTTCCTCTGTGATACCTTCCCGGTTGGCCACTTTCTTTTACTCATGTTGTTTCATGTGGGTTCACGAGTGTCCTTTGTTCACCGCATTTAGAGTGCATGCTACCATGTTCTTGGACACTATAAACTTTTTGTGTTTTGCTCCTATCCTTTCTTGTTATGCGCTGTTCATTGGCATCACTGTCTTATTTTGTATAGCGTGGTTATCTGGGACATTATCCGGCTTTTTTGTTACCAGCCCACGGGCTCATTCACCTTGCTTAACATCCACTTCTGGTGGAATTACGCAGAATTCTATGTCCCACTGTGGTTATCCCCTTTAATCGTTCTATACTATGTACCGGAGAGATTTCGTTCAGTTGATACGCTTGAATTATTCCTCAGCATCAACAACCGAAACAGTGTTTCACTACAATGCATACCTTATGAACGTATTGATGTTTTAATGGAATATGCGATCGACTGGACCTCATGTGAAGCCTAAATGCTCCAAGCAAACATTCGAGATCAAGGTGTTTACAACTTAGCAGAAACACCTGATCACAAATAGTTGGTTGTATTTTGATGCTAAGGTGTTATCGGCGAGTCAGTTTCCTTGCGGATTTCTCCAACTTGCTTCGGATTCATCAATCCTGCCTCACAACAGAACAAATCTGGCACAAGCGCCTGTTGGGAACCATGTGATACAACATCCCAGTCTACGTACGGGGCGAGTGTTGCTGCCCACCAACTAAGCAGTGAGATGGATTTTCAGCCATTAATCATAAACTTCATTAACCTCTGTCATCTCACTGATTGTCCCTCTTTGGCATTAGGCTCCCCTAGATCTGTTTAGCAAAACAAACCCATCGTTGACAAGTGGTGGTGGGTTACCTGTAGACATTATCAATCCAACTAGGTTACTCTGCGTTGTTTATTGATCACAAGGAAATCTTACTAGTCAAGTATGTGCAGTAAGAGATGATCGCATGAGCTCTTGAGATCGAGAAACGCGATACGTGTGACGCTATTTTTGCAACTATTCATGTAAAAAGGGTTTATTTACTCTCATCCCCTGCCCGTAGTCTTGAAAATCAGAAGCCTGTCTTGTAATACGAGGGCGCTGGGGGACCGAGCGTCCCTCACAGCATAGCCCATGTACGACCGATAGTGGTTGCGCGGCAGTGAAGCATCGGCACTGCGTACCGCCGTACTGCTGATACCATCGGATACCTGTATCTGGTTTTCTACCACCTGGAATTCCTATTCCACAGTAAAGCGGTAAAAACGAGGCGATTTCATCGGCGATTTCTTTATCTCCGTCCTTAAGCAAATATCTTCGACATAACGGTTGCTATTCACCAATATGCCATAATGATTCGTTCGCCTCATCCTCCAGGACGATCTCCCTTCCATACCCTGCTGGTCAGTTATCTGGATAATCTAGAAAGCACAGTAGTTGCGACAATATCTCGGACCTTTCCTTCAACTAGAAACCCCATTTTTTCTGACTGATTCGTCCTGCGTCCTCTAAAGACGAAGCTACTTACTATTTAGTGGGCAACTCAAATGCTCCGTAAAGCCTTACGCCCAACTAATCAGACTGTTGACCTTAGTTCGGATAAAATGCCAGCACAGTCACTACCTGCTTTACTGACATGTCCAGTTAAACTATGTATCTCTTTCATTTTGGTATAGCAGTATTTCCAAGTCCCTGACAACTACCCTATCGATCGGTGCCTTGTCTACTTCTGCAAAATTCCTCTGAGTTTCGTTAAGTTTCGTGCCTCTGACGCCATGTGACACATCTAAACGACCGTATGGTTAGGGTAAATGGCGGTCATTGATCAAATCCTCTTACTTCGCAGCTTCTCGGGCCATTTTCCTGGGGATGCTAAATTGAATATGCGTGGGACTTTTGGACATGGTTTGGGGTATAGTTGTATGTTTATGGGTTGCATTGTTAATAACTATGTGAGAAGCTACTAAATGTTGCCTACCAGCCAGACGCACATTCATTCCTGACAGTTCACATTATTTTTAAAAGATAAACAATTATTTATCACGGGTTGCAAAGCAAATGCTTGACGAGTCCTGTAGGATGGTTGAAGTGAATACTATGCTCTCAAATGGTATGTGAGTCATCTACCGAACGTTTACCAAGTTAACATTAATGTAAAATAGAAGGTGAATGTAAGCATGCGTAAGAACACGGTGTGCAGTGATCGTTGACGTAAAGCGTTAGAAATTCACAATATAGTCACTCACTCATGTGACGTCTTCTTGGGTCCATGTGACACATACATCCGGTAGGAGGACATGATTAATGTGATCCACAATAGCACAGTTTAGGTAACGAAATACTGGGAGCTAAGAACAACATGCATTCTTGCAAATTTCCGAAGTAGAGGTAGACACAACTGATTTTCGCAGTGAGTTCCATGGTTGACAAACCCGAAGAGAATAGTAATTCCACCTACCCTCTAGACGGCTGTATTGTTAACTCGGTTACCTCTGAGCTTAGTGCTATGGCTGAGTTCCAGCAAATGCGGTACACCTAATCTTGGGGTCACACAATATTTGCTACGTTAATATGTGATCACCGCGCATTCTTCGGTAGAGTCCGCAACTTTAGTATTCGCTGGTAAGAATGATGGCCTCCACTTCACCTGCTGTTATCCATTGGTCCGTATCTTTGAATAAAAATAGCATACTGGAGCGAAACTTCACATTTTGATGCACATCTGTCGGCAGTGTTGCTGTTGGCATCACTTGTCTCTTAAAGCAACTCACTGCTATTATTCCCCCTGTTCGGTCGTGGGGATTTCGCTGTGGTTCCCATGTCAAAACTTCTTAGTTAGCCTGTTCTAACATCTTGTAGTTGTTTCGACTCCATAATCGGAACGGACAAAACCCGCTTCAGAAATAGTACCCCACGCGCAATGGATTGTGGTCCGTCAATAAGGTGCAACATCGACTGTACAGCATCTTTTGAAACTTCTTTTTCATGAAAATGATGGTTATGGCGTTTCCCTTCCATCTGACCATAGTCCTGACCGCAGTCCTCATTGCACGCTAGGCGTGTAAGAAGGCTTCGTCGGAGCCCTTTCAATGTGATGGTAGAAGACTGCTCCGATCCCGTGGTTGAAAACCTCAGTGGCTACCCAAATTCGGTAGTGTTGGGTCATAATGTGTCAATAGCAAATCAGAATGCAGTATGGAATTTAAGCGTACGAATGCCTCACCTCCTTGGAGGAAACAATGCTAGGAGACGTCTTTCGTAAGCAACCGATTGTACAGGATTTGTACGTTATGCAATGTGGCAGAAAAGCGCTGTGATAGCTGATGAGCTCAAGAAACGAGCGAAATTACGAAATATCTTGGAGGACCGACCTCTACTGGATGGATTTGTGGTTTACGGGATCCGAATGATGGCTATTGGCATCGAGGATGTAGACGAGATACTTGATAGGTCAAAATGAAGACTGACATTCTCTTTCCCCTCAGTTTGAACCCGTAATCCCGAATATATTGGATAACCGTGACCAGTCATTCTCGAAGTTCACCTGGACTACCACACATAGGGAAGAGATCGTCCAGGTACACCACTGTACATTGGACGCCAGTGATAACCAGGGTATTTCCTTAGGACAAAAGATAGCACTGATTGAGTTGCGTTGGCTTGCGCACCTACTACATATGCTTAGTCACCGCTTACCGAGGAGGACTTTGTTTTGTTTACCATATTTAGGGTGGCGCAACGCCCTACGTGGGCAGTAATTAATTTAGCAGCAGGAAATGAAATCATTGACGACCAAACTCGGTGCTGTCGGTCTGTATCGCCTTCCAGCCTGGAGTCCACGTGACCCTCCTTGTGCTTGGCTCGAGACGTTACGGAACATGGCTCGCAGTCGACACCACTGAACACCGAGCTCAAACAGTTCACCATGGAAGATCGTGGAGCCTGGTGACAGTGACGCAATTCTTGCAACGCACCGCCTGTGTTCCTTGAGGCATCCAGAACTATGGATTTCCTTCCGGCATTCTCGCGGACGCATCCGAGGTGTCGGTTATTCGGACTATTGTTTCTACTGGACTGCACTTCTCTCCGAGCCCGTGTCATCATGACCGATTTACAGGCTTCTGCCTCCCCCTTAGTAGGGTGTGGAAACAGGTTAGATGCATGTGACTTGTCCGCTAGGAGGAATGCGATGTGCCGTCGCATTTTACTCTGACTACATAATCCACGCTCATTATTATTATGAGGCGCCTCATTTGCCGAAGTAAAGATGAGTTGCAGCCAAACAGCAACTTTCACCTACGAGTCTAATCGTGCTTTTGGTGGACTGTTACATTGACGGAAAGATCAGTGTGCACAATGTTGAACCAGTTGGCAAATGTACAGGCTCAGCTGAGAAGTAAAGCGCGTCGCCTGAGTGAATACGCCATATTTGCCACATTGACTTCGCCTAGCACCATAATCCTATGGTGGGTTCTGATGCTGGTGGCAACGTTAACCGAAACCTGAACTCCCTGCAGTGTCCTATCTAACACTTGGTTTGTGTGGTGGGGTCGTTGTCAACGGTATTCGATCTGGAGATTGTTTTATATCCTCGGCTCCCCTTGATGATATACCATCTACCTTTGCGATTTGGTTAACACCACTGTTGAAACCGAGATTACGAACTTAACCGAAGGACTGCTGCAGGAGTTTACAAAATACCATCAGTTGGGTTCTTGCGTTCCATATCCATGTAGACAAAAGTGATATACGCATCCCCATGGATTGACACCTGGCTGCAGAGCCTATGCGGTTTGCAGCCACCACAGTCCATTGCGTTTGTGCAGTAAAGTCACCGCATGGGGACAGCTATGTTCGATGGCCACAAGCAAAGAACACTTGCTCACGAGGTTTTGCTTCAGTGACAAATAGACAATGCGGACACGCAAACAGTTGGCCAGATTTAGGGCAGCGAGGCAACCAGTTTCGCGAAGTAGGACGGAGGTAAACTTTTGA